GGGCGAGAAAACAGCATTCATGGTGGGGGAGAGGCAGTTACCAGACAGGTTGTCCGGGGAGCTTTGGATCATGGAGCTAGCGACCGCCATGGCACGAACGGTAAATCTGGAAAGGAAGATAGACGAAGTGCTAAAACTGTCAGCATATCTATCCACCGCGGTTCGCGGTCCTCTGCAGGGGAGAAGCAGCGACTTACTCCATACTGGCAGGAGGCGCGGGGTGCGCTGCCCGGTAGTATCTGCTGGACTGAAGAAATAAAACACCGGCTTCAAAGATCGAGCAGGGAATGGCACAGGGCGCCAATATATGAGCTATCCGTGATGTGGACGAAAATGCGTATGTGGGGTGGTCTCGCACTGGATGCGTTGCCTGGCGAAGAATGACGGTTGTGGTTTTTTTGTGGGGTGGAAAATTGGTCGTCACGGCGCTGCCGCAACCACCAAGTTGCAATGCGCCCAACGCGCCGCGACGCCGGCCATTGCAACAGTTCTCACGAGACTCAAATTCCTCTGTCTCATCCCGCGGCTCATCATTGCTGTTCCGTATTAACTCGCAATATTGGCCTTTACTCTTGCCCCGCGCACGCCCTGAAGCGTGGTCAGCGCGGCCTCGTAAGACCACAAACCGGCCTGTATGTCCACACAGAGACCTATTTTATTATAATAAACGCTTTACCCGATAATACAGAGGCCTATCTTATCGTACGTTGTACGCTAAATCGCTATACAGAAGGCCGCTGACGAATGTTTCAAGGCGTGCACAGGGCAAGAGTAAAGGCCAATATTGCAAGTTAATACGGTATCTAGGGGGGTTCAACGCGACGGAAGGCACAACAGACGGCTCAAAAGGCGCAAGTCCTTGGATACCGGCCAATTGCGTAAATTCTAGTATGAAGAAGAGAAAAAAGCTATCTACGGAGCACAAGGCGCACCTGCGGTTGGAGGGGTAAAGGCCTGCCAATCGTACGGTCGCGCTAGTCCAAATCCGGCCAGGTAACCGGTGCCCACCTGGCCCAAGCTCCAGTCAATCCACCACGTACCATCACAGCACATCAAAGAGCCTGCTTCGAACTTGAAAGTGCTGCGCCAGGACATCGACTTTGTTGCCCTTTCTGCACAGCTTGATCTCCCTGCTTGGCGCCTCTGGCTTCTGACCTGTGTCGACCCCTTTGCCTTTTCTGTCCAGCTTTGGCTTTTTTTTACGGGCTCCTCTGACCCAGATTGGGAAGTGGCGCGGTTGCCCGATCCAGACCCAGGGGCGGAGCCTGTCATGACAGAGCCTGACTTGGTGCTGCCGCGTCGATCATTCTTCGCCAAGAAAATGTCCAAAGCACCCTTCACAGTGTGCGTGGACCCCTTCCCGTCCACGTTGGGATCCGTCATGTCCAGGACCCCGGCTAGATGTAAAAGCCCTCTCACCTCCCGGTCTAGTCGTCGCATGACATGGAGGGGGGCGGGCGGTACAGTGCGAACCACCGTACGCCCAGCCACATAGATAGCGGGATCACGGATCCCACCGATAGCCCAATCCATCACTCATTCACGCCACGATCAGACTCGTGTTCGCAGTGTCGTACACACGGTGCGACGGTGCGACTGCACCAACAGGGGGTGTAAGTACCGGTAGGTACCGAGGCCGCTGGTAGGTGCCAAGGTGGCCAGTAGGTGCTGAGGCGGCCGATCTGTCAAAGGTATTCCGGTTGCTCAATAGGGTGCTCATGGAACTCTTGTAGAATCCGATGAGGCGGGACTTGAGGCAGCTGTTATTTTAAAAGTCTGGAATAAAAGTCAGCCTTTGTTCTCCAGGCGCTGGACAAGCAGTCCCACTTTAGTCTGCAGTTAAACGTGGCCAAGAAATTATAAGGGAATGGAGATTAGGGTTAGGGGCGAACTTACCAACACTGTGCTCAGCTGAATTTCCCAAGATACCCTTTGCAGATACCACCGAAGAAAACGAGATGCCGCAGCTGCTCAAAATATTAGCATCTTCAACCTCCTGGTGGTACTTGTGTGAACAGGAGCAGGGAACGCAAGATTTACTTTATAATTGCGGCAGACACAGCTAAGCGGCCGCTGAGATGTAGTTTTTTGCGGAGGGAAAATTTTATCTCAGTTCAAGCCAGTAACTCTGTACGAATTCTGTGCACGAAAAACGAAAACTAGGAGTGGACGATCGGCCATCATTGCAACCACTGATTTATAGGCGCTCGACGTTCTGCATTTGAAGCTCACTGCTCGCACTTTCCACCAGGTTAACAGACGAGGACTCCAGGCCACTGCCTACCTATATGCTCTTTCTCTCCCTCGGAAAAGCCAACACACCATCCAAGCTATTTCTCAGCTCTAACCCAATTCTCATTTTCAAGATATACATGTAACCAAATCCTTTGTCCTAACACATTATTAAACCAACCCCCCAATTTGGGAAACTGGGGCTCTGAGAGCCAATGTACATGGAACCCTTCCGCACTGGACCGCCTGGAATGCGGTATTAGCACCCGAACTCAACTATATCGTTCGAAGCGACAGTATACGTAGGCATAAAAAAACGACGTTCTAGCGCTGGGAGATTTTCGGTAAACAGTGTCTATATACATGAAGCTGCTGACGGGATGCTAATTAACAACGACGTCACTCTTGTTAGCTTGCACCACGATGACAAACGTGGAGATGCAGTTGAGGTTGGTGGCAAAGCAAGGAAGAAGAGAATCCAAGAAAACCGGCTGCATACCTACTCCTCAATGACTAAATAACAGCCAAACTTTGTGCACGTTGAACCTCAATTACCGTACCTATAATCTCCGAGTCGCATTATCGGCCTTTACTCTGACCCCGTCCACCCCTCAAACGCTTTGCCAGAGAACCTGTGCAAAGCTATACCAATTCCCAAGGGGCCTATCTTGTCAGTATAAAGGGCGCACTTCAGTACTCCATAGCTATTGTTATTGTTGCGCAAAGGACGATCGATGGCATCGCACAAGGCCGCCGGCGAAATGTTCAAAAAGCAAGAGCAAAGGCCAATACCCAGATCTCCAAGCCAGCAGCCGCCCCTTACAGGGTTGCAAACAAAAGTGTGCGGTTCGCCGTCACCACGGCTATAGGACTAGCCATGCTAGTAATATCCACCATATCCTTGATATCCGGGACCACGTCCTCGGCAGCCTTTGCGGCACCCTCGGCAATCTGCGCATTACGCCGAAGGCACGCCTTTAAATTCCGGGCAGTCCAGTCCGGTTCATCATCATCCCCGACAACAAACCACCAGTCAAGACCATCGCCGGCCCATGCCGGGTCTGTATTCAGCGCCAAACACCTCACAGAATCCGCATTCTGATCCATCCTAGACAAGCATAGCGTCTTCAGCTCCGGAAATAGCGGCTCAAAGGTGTCTTGTTCAGCGGTATAGCGCGTCATATACACCAGATAGTGCAGAAAGAAACAGAGCTGCCGTGTGTTTCACACCTTGGTACCACTCGGTGCCTAGTTTTTCTTGTATTGCGCGACTATTAACGCTGCGCAGTCCGACTGGCTCTCAATCTCCATGGTGAGGTGTCGCAGCCCCGCAGGCATTCTACCAAACACCACGTCCATCATGGTGTACATCTGAGTCTCAAATTCGGAGAAGCTCGGATAGGTCCGCGTTTCGGGTCCCAGCACAAGCTTAAGGTGGTGCACCGTCTTGAGAGCGTTCGGCATAAAAGTCGGGTCCCCGACTTCCTCCCACCGGATGGGGATGCCGGGGTGCCAGCAGACGTACAAGCTGATGACGTCTTTGGCGTGGTCGAAGGGGATGGTTTGGACCGAGGGTGTGCCGAAGCGGGAGAGCATGCGCGCGCGGGAGCGTCGGCAGACGTGGTAAAGGGGGAGGACGTGTTTCCATTCCCGTGGCGTGGCGACGTACCAGCGATGGTCGAGCCGGTAAAGGCCGAAGCACGTTCGACGTGTGTAGATCTCGACTGCGGGGTGGGCCGCGGCGTAAATCATGTCTTGTAGCTCTCCTGGGAAATCGAGAAACCGGGGAAACCTTGTGTTTCCTGCCGTGCCATCGGGCAAGCCCGTAACGTGATAGGGCATTTCTTGGTATGCTCGGTGTTTCAAGTACTTGGTGCTGCTCTTGAAGCGTGGCGGAGGGGGTCGATTGGGGGCGGATGCCGAGGGGTGCGTCGGAGCTTTCTGCTTATCAGGCCAGCCCTTGTCGCTGTCGAAATCGCCCTCTGCGCGGTTGACACAGCCCAGCTCAAGGCCTGTGCACATCCGCCGACACCGCTTGAAGGGCGGGCATGATCTGGTCCTCAGGTGACAGACGGTTCTGCGAAAATACCGGACCGATTCCATCCCAAGTCGACAGTCGCAATCCGAACTCCTCGATTGCCTTTGTGTCGTCAAGATCATCTGCTCGTGGTTCTCGAAATACCGGTAGGTAGGTGTCGCAGAAAATCCGATCATAACGTGTCCTGCTGCGTGAGCGGTGCAAGCAACAAAAATGTGTAGAAAGGAAGAAAGGAAGACTGTGCGGAGGGCTGGTTGGAAATACTGGCCATGCCAGAGAGGTGGGGGCAAAGCTCTAACCCTCTCGCACCTGCACTTCTTCGTCAATGGAAATAAGAGCCCTCTCTGCAGGTAATCCGACCGTAATTGTATTCTGAAGGTTTTCGTCAGGGAGCTGGTCGACTTGGTGGGTGCTGACCTCGGTGGTTGTTTTGGCGACGGCGTGCGACGACGCGCCTTCTCTGGTGCTGGACGCGGCGGTACCGCCATGGCCAGACAGACGCGAAGCTCCCATAACCCCAGCTTTCGTGCATTGCTCCTCCCTTTTCCATTTCTCAGGTCCTGAAAAAGGTAGCTGCAATCGCCCGGCTTGCACGTCGAGGAGTTGCAGCCCGCAAATGCTCAATCACCCCCATTTCGGTTTTACCCCTAACCGCAACCACAAACCGACCCGCCCCCCTGGAGCTGCCGCATACTTGAGCCGAATTTTCGGATCCCCTAACATCAATCAAGGCTCCGTGGCGCAATGGTCGCGCGTTACTTTCCGGTTTCTAAACACCGCTGGTAAAGGTTCTGGGTTCGAGCCCCAGCGGGGTCGATTACATCTTGTTTTTTTGCATCCTGTATCCTTGATCCAGGACGTCACTCTGGTGGGTCTTCTGACAACCAAAAAACGATTGCCCAAGTCAGGGGATGTGAATCTTGTTGTACTGGACAATGAGATAACCAAGGAACTTGAGTTGTTTTGCTCAACATCCCGAGTTTGGCGCGAAAATGATGTTCCGCGGCGATTACTGGGAGGCTCCAAAGAGAGTGACGGGAGATGGCCCAGATGTGTTTGAGGAATGGTTCTAGACGATGGACATTCAGCCGCATTGTTGTGGGCGCAAAGAAGCTCGGGAATCCTGCTGTGGGTGGGTTCATCCCGCCGAGAAGAGAGACACGCGTACAGAATCGTACGAGAGTTGCGTCTAGATGTAAACACTCGTTCGTCAGATTTGAGGAATTGGAGCCTGACATGTACGTCGTCAGATTTCACCAATCGGCAGAGTGTCATTATGCAAGAGGGAATGGAAGTACAACTGAGAGTGCAATGACTCCTAGCTGCGTTCTATTCTGCCATTGGTAGCCTTGTCCCATCGACGCCCACACGCCATCACGAGAAGGTCTTGGCGGCCAGGAGGTGGTGTATGAAGTGCATGGTTGATAACAGCATCTCCGGCCCCTCAACCGGCACGAGCTCGAGGCAGAGCCGCCGCATGTCATGTCCACCAACTGAACCCGGCGACTAAACTCGTCTATATAATACCTGTCCTTGCCAGCACTTCTTTCCCCAGACCCAACTTCTTCGCACTGCACACGGCACAGCTTAAGCAACACAAATACATCCAGACGAACACAAGCTCTGTCCCACCATCAAAATGCCCAACGACGTATGTTGTCGATCTTCCGCACAATACGTTCGGCATCGCTAACTTCCAGCACTGCAGGACGTCCCAGTTGACCGCCCCAAGCTGCCCGATTCCATCTACGGGGATCCGAAGGTCCGGAAGCCTGCCAAATAACGTCACCATTGAGTCAACAGATACAATAGGGATGGATTCACGACGGGGGCGGGGTGGTGGTGCGAAGGGGACGGGTGTATGCGGGGTAGCGTGATCTAGCACATCCAGTTGTTCACTCTACCGCTCTCAATCCAATCGCATTCTTCACAGTTGCTTGATCCACCGACATGACCTTCAATTTAGGTTGTATTATCCGTGCCTGACAATCAAGGTGGTCCATTTTTGCTTCGTAAGGGACAAAACACCATACGCAGCACCCCCGAGCTTCCCACTTATTACTCTTCCTTTTCCGCCGTCTTGGAATTGAGCGGATTGGCTGACAATGTAAAGACTTTGAAGTTGAAATCCTCATCGTGCCCAACATGCAGGTCCACGGGCCGCCCCAGTTTCCCAACCGGTATAGCCCGTGACTTGTTGACCTCCGACGGCTCCTGTATATCGTACGGATAAAGATCCTGCTCATACGGGTTCAGCATGACAGGCCTCACGGCGACTTTTGACGCGGATCTTGGAATGTCCAATTCGAGCTCGAATTCCTTGCTGATGGACATGTCAAGCCTAAGCTTCCAGAGATCGGCAACCTTCCACTTTCTCTCCGGAGGGTCCTTGGAAGCCCTCGGCTTAAACCTGACATCCGTGCTCACGGTCCACCTGTGGGCCTCGGTGCGCATATGGTGGTGTGATGGGACGCTGGGGGTATGGTGCACAAGCTCAAACGCCCTACCCCGAGCCATTATCTCTTCTTCCGTCTCGTTGTTAACGTCTAAAAAGTGAAGGGGGCCCCATATCCCTAGCGGATCCATGGTGGTGGATGCCGGCCAGATGGATATCCTTCCCCTGTCACCCCAGAGAAAATGCGTGTAAATTGCGGAGTATACCGGAAGAATCCCATACTTTTGAGGGCCGACAGGCAAAGCCCGAAGCTTGTTTGACCTGTTAGCCGGCGCATGACGACCGATCCCGGGGCTGCACTCACAGGTTGTATGATATCACCCCTGCCGTCATGCCTCTGTTCAGGGTTCCGCTGATGGTATAGATAGACCTTTCTCGGATTTTGTCCTTCTACCCATTCGGCCGGAATCCTCATTAAGCTGTTCGGGAATCTCGATCGAGCCAGGTGCCATGGCCCCTGACTTGGTTGAACGCAGACGGCTAGGAGGGATGGCTTGTGACACTGCGTGTCCTTGACGTTGAAGATCACCAACTTGAAGTCTGGCTGCATGCATTCCAGAACAAGGAGGTTTATGCGGAGCCCGTTGTTGGTCAGCTGGTAATTGGCGTGATCGGGCTCTTCCCTAGCGTTGATCCGGGCTTGACCTCGATCTTCTTCAAAGTCCTTGCTGTTCCGGAAGACACTAGGCGCCGGTGCCAGGCACCCATACCACTCGGGGTAGTCGTCTGCTCCGGAATCCGCGTTCCAGGACCAACAGAATATGCTATGGTCGTTTGTGTGCGAGATAATCTCCTCCTGCAGGCGAACAAACGCTCTTTTGCCTTCTCCGTAAAGAAGCGGCATGTTGATTTGGAAGATTCCAAGGAGACAGTATGCCATGTCTTCCTCCCGAGAAGTGGACCTAGTGGCCGCCCATGACATGCGCCGAGCAATAGATGCTGTGAAGATCAACTTGGGATGCGTTAGATATCTGCCGTTGATGCCGGTAACAGCACTCAGCTCTGGCGCCAGATTTTCCTTGGACCCCAGCATAGTCCATTTCGAATCGTAAAACACGACTGACGCCGGGGCCAGCAGCTCTTGGAGTGTCCACCCACGAGAAAACCACCGAGCGCGACCGAGAGATTCAGGATCCAGACGAGTCGCTGGTTCATGCGTGATATCATCCAGCCAAGCATAGCAAACGTGTGCGCTTTGATACCAGGCGAACATCGAGTTGATGGCCTCGCTCAGCTCGGCCGAGCTTTCTTTGTTGATGCAGACCGTGTCGATCCAAATATAGCTCAGCGGCCGAAACAGTTCGTTGGCCGCTACCTTGCAAGCCTCCTGAATCTTGATGTACCCTTGAGTGTCGGCATATTCCAGACGCCTTTTGCGATCGGCCCAGATGCTAAATGTGAGCTCATCTGTTCTCCAAGTGTGCGAAAGTATGGCGTATTGTGGGATTTGAGATCCAACGAACTCTTCAAAGTCATGTGTTGTTGTGTTGATCAAGCGCATGGTGGTTCTGCGCCCACAGCCGAAGCCTGTGGTTCTTGGATGAAGCTCTTGATATGTCGTCCGGGAAAGCGCGTTCGGTTTCAGAACCTGAGACGCGACGAGGCGTTTTTGGGGCGATGCAGAGAAGGTCGGGGCGGTGGGTTCAGCTGCTGCGCCTCCCAGCCGGATAGAGCATGGTCTGCAAGTGACTGCAACCAATCACGTCACGACGCTCCAAGTCGAATGTCATGCAGGTCCTTGAACTTCTTCACAACGTGGCTCGCTTTCGACAGGTCAACAAGTGACCACTTGGCGCCCCTGAAGATCTTGAGCAGCACCCAAAGACCAAAGAAGACCATGACCTACATGCGTGCGTCAGAAAAGAAAAGCAGAAAAGGGGGTTAGGGGCACGTACGATAAGGTAAGATGACAGAAACGGCAGCGGGTGGAAACCACCCCACAGCGCAGCGCTATTGGCAACGAACATGACCGCAAGACACCCAGCGAGTGCCAAGTACGCAACAAACGGTTGCCCGTGGCTTCGGTAGGGGTAGTCTTTCCAGTCGTCCTTGTCCCAGCGGCGTACCTGCGAGATCTTTTGAGCTTGAAGGACCACTCGATGACGATAGATGCTATGCAGTCGGTGTAAGCTTGTGCCTTGCGTGAAAGAGAGGGTTTGACTCACCAGCGGTAGTAGCGAATGAACGCCAGGCACTGACACGCCCAGACGATCAAGACTCCAACCGAGCCCATCTCAGCCAACACTTCAATGAACTGGGAGGAGTCAGCAAGCATCTCCACAGGTGACATAGACGTTGACTCGCCATTCCAGTGGCCGTGTGCGGACCGATCCCTTCCTGCAGCTGCAGAAAAGGCACCCACCAGAACGCCATAGCCGAGAATATCATCGCTCTCATGGGTACCTTTCGGTGATTCGTCCTCCCAAACCATGCCAAAATCCGCAGCAGCCAAGGTTGGCCCTCTCCCCCTTCCAGCCGGCTCGTCAAGCCAAACAGTGTCCTGGACGCGACATACAGGTTGGTGTTGGCGCAGGTCAAAGCAGTGAAGATGAGAAATACGTTGAAGACCTCAGCGAGACGCGGTGTACCGGATTGCTGGGCAATAATGACGAATGCCGATGCGGTGCTTGTATCGGAATGTTCGCCCTCGGTAGCCCTGCAGTTGTCTGCTTGATCCTTCAACCAGCTAAGGCGTGGTAGATCACAGTCAGCCCTGGAAATATCCAGTGATACCAACGTGCCGCTGAGGCTGTACGCAATGGTGGCAAGGACCGATATGTAGATTGCCGAGAACTTGACTGAAGAGCCGATTAGTGTGTCGTTCGACCGACGCGAGATATCCGAGTCGACGCGGTCTTCCGTGCTGCGTCGTTTGGGCCATTTTGCTTCCAAGGCGGAGGCCGCAATAATCTCAACACCAACATATGCAAATGTAGCAAAGGATAGGCACATCCTGATCCTGTTAGCTCCTCTTCTCATCAGGTCATCGAGCTCATGACTTGCATCAAAGCGGTTCCCCAATTCTTGGCTGCAACAGTATCATATGCGGTAGCATCCTTCCAGTCTGTTGTGCAAGTTAGCATCCTAGAGCATACACTTTAATTCGCGTGATGACTTACAGTCGTCTGTCACTCCTCCCTCCGTGCTGTTGAGGGCTGTGGCGCAGGAGTTAGCGTACTGAATGCACCTGGATGGATCATTTCGACCAACCTTTCCCCTTGATCACAATCAGAGTAATCATGATGATAATAAGCATCGTAATCTTGACGCTGCCGAAGAACACCTCGATCCATCCGTATGTCTGGGAAACAGCTGTCAGAGTGTTCCCGCATCCCAGAAAGGGGCCGACGCACCTGGATTC